CAAACATTTGAATGGTTAACTCAAAACAAGCTAGTGCCTGTGTAATCTCCTTATTATCCACTTTTATCAAGCAGCTTCTCGTATTCAGTTAAGTAACTTCTGCTCTATTTGTATCTCCTTATGCTGTGTGTATTGTATAAACGGGGTAGGAATGTAGCCCCTTCCTCGGTATTTATTTGGTGCTTGGAAAAGTGTCAGTTATTGTGCTCTGAGTACCCCTGGAAGGCCCTGATTCGATTATGTAAAATACTTTTTCCTCTGTGCCTGGAACCCGAACATCGATTGCCGTCCACTATCTTCCTGGAACCACTCTCCTCGCCCTTTGTTGGCGTGAGTTCTTTCAGATTCTGCAATGTTACTGTAGCATTTTCCCTGAACTAAGCGCATATCCGCAAATTCGTGAAAGGAAATTCAAAGTAAATCACAGTTTGACAAATTATTGTTATGATTGACAAGGGCTATCCACCTGTAACTATCTGTTAATGACAAAAAAACATCATTGTCGCTTTGACTTTCCATCAAAAAATTGTAGAACAGAACTTTTTCAATATCGGAATTTGAAGCAAAGATAGTAATTGTTCTTTTTGAAAGCTTTATGAATTGAAATGTGCTACCAATTAAACATGGAATAATTTCAAAATAATGCTCAATAGCAAAGTTGAAATTCGATCTTCAACTGTCAATATCTTCTAGAAAATTTGGAAAAAAAAAATTCGACGTTTTTCTCGTACTCCCCAAGTGAGCCTCCATCACCCCTTAAAAGGAATGACGCCAATTTTGAATCACCCTGTATCTCAGTTTTGAGTGTACCTACATTTTTGTTGTACTCAATAAATATCAGCCACAGAGAAGAAAATTTTAACATTCAAACTTTAAATTCGAATCGCTGTGTTTCTGCTAGTTATTTTGACTGCAAATCGTCAAACGGTTATTCTGGTAAATAAATGTTACAGCTAAATACGCAACATTTCACACAATTGATAGTAATTTATCTCAATGAAAATGTTGCAAAGCAGACGTGAACGTGTTGTTTCAGAACGAATTTTGTCAAAAAAAAATGGTGCGTTTAAGATATTTAAGTCAAACTAAAACGTTTTTTTTTAGAAAAAAAAATTTCTCAATATTTTAACACTAAAGCACCAAAAACAAGTTTTCCAAATCTAAAAAAAATTTCTGTTATCTTAATTTCTTTTTTCAGAGGATGGCAGGCTCAGGAGATCAATTTTTGAGCACATATGCGACAAATTTTTCAAAAGATTCGAAACGGATTTGAGCGCATAATTTAATTTCTTATTTCAGTTAAGCCGCCAAATTTTGGCACAACTCATTCAGGGTGTAATTTATACGTATGCGAGCCACAATGTATACAATACCATGACAAGTTTCTATAAAAATATCTATGTTTACTTCTAAGAAATATAAAAGCCCTTAGCAACGCTGCTAAAAATGCATTTTTTTGCCCATAAAGTACTTAAAAATTGCATACAAATAATACAACTAGGTATAATTGTCAATAATTGTATATGGTCTCAATGTCTAATCTTATAGTTACACACTAAACTAACAGGTTGAAAAATGCATTAGTGTGGTAATATATGTTGCTCTAATACACCAAAAAGTGTGAAATCATGGTTATTATCCAACAGTTGTAGATAAAAGTTATTTGGTCAGAACTGAACTTTAGCAACGTCGTTTACGTCGTAACCATTTCCACACTTTTCAATGAAAAAATAGACAATTATCAATAATCTGAAAATGACAATTATTTACAAATTTTCTTAAATATTTTTTTGCAGAGAATGAATGATCTTCTGTTATTCTCTTTCTATTATGTTGTACGTTGGTTGGAAAAAGTCAACCTTAACCAGATCTTATAAAAGCGGTTGCTACCAAAAAAGAATTACAGTTTAAAGTGATATGAGCAGCTTTCAATGGTCAGTTTAATGTACTGTGGAAAAATAATTCGAAACAAATGGCTAAAGTGAGCTTTCTCACAAGCTTGTCAAATGGTATTATATTGTTATTATCTGCTCCATTACTGTTATTGTCTACCCTATTCGCTTGAATTAATAAAATCCATGAATTGAAAATCTCAATCCTACATTTCGTTTGCTGCATATACTGTTTAATAATACCTTCGCTGTCGGCTGTGTGCAGTCCGCTCTCCAGGCAAGCAAACAGCTCATGAGCTGTGATGTGGTCGGCGGTAAGCTTCATAAGCTTCCTTTTCGTCAGTCCGTCATTTCGTGTTTCCCTCATTTAACGTATGATTCATGTGGTTATCATGAAAGATCCTTATGTATTCGAGGGATCAAAATCGTTCAAATAAGGCTTTGTGAAGGATGCAATTTCACGTTAGTACAATTCTAGGAACTAACAAAAAGGTGATCGTTATACTGATGATATAAATTCGTCAGTAAAGTCAGTTAAGAAGAAGCCTACACTTCATAATTTGGTTTCAATACTGCATTACCAACATACATCTCAATGTGTATATACTTGAGTTTTGTCACAAAACTGCACAATCGTGCGTTATGTGGAAAACATTAAACAAAACAAACATGAAACAAAACTACAGATTTAATACTCTGACTGAAGTACTTGACAGTAGGTGACCATTGTACCATAAAAAAATATTGATTTAAAAAATAAATTGCCGCGATAAAGGTCGTTATTCGTCACCAAACCGGCTCTCATACGTAGTTTTGAATGTACTTCTGAAAGCAATGGTATTTTATATGTAAATACTGGAAATTTATATGTAAAAATCGAAACTATACAGGGTGGTCATTTTCTGAATCTTTGTATGGGTAACTTCTACATGTTTAAAGATAGAGAATTCGTTAAATATACAAAATTGGACAGATTTTGATTTCCTTTTCATTACCGTTTTCAAAATTTAGGTACCCAACTTGATTCCTGAAATATCCTGAAAGGCAAGAAACCAACACTTTTTTAAATATCATATAATTCGTAAACTGCTTAAATTAGAAAAAGTAAAAATTCTCTTTGGTATAATTTTTGCGTCGAATTCAATAAACTATTACTTGTTGTCATAGTTAACTTGATTACGAGATTAAAAATAAACTTATGGTTTTTTAAATGGTAATGATAGTTAGCTGTGGGCCTTTTAAAATCCTTATTTTTTTTCTGAATTTAACAATATAACTGTTTGTGTGTTTTTCTCCTTTTGTTGGCGCAAAACTTCAAAAGAAGATAAAAAATGTGCATATTTTCAACATGATAGTGCACCTTCACACAACTCACGAGTTGAATGTGAAGATGCCAAAAATTGCCTGAACGTAAGCGGAAGTCAATTTGAACATTTAATTTAAACAATTCATTATTGCTTTGTGCTTTGCGTGATGATATAGTTCTTGTTTCCATAGCCTACTACACATGTTTATCTTCTCTTGTAGTTTTACGGCAACAAAAGAAGAAAAACATACAAACAATTATATCATTAAATTCAGAAAAACATAAGGATTTTAAAAGGCCCACAGACAACTATGATTATTATTTAAAAACCCATAAGTTTATTTTTTATCTCGTAAATCAAGTTGACTATGATAACGAGTGCTAGTTTATTGGATTCAACGCAAAAAGTTCTACCAAAGACAATTTTAACTTTTTCTAATTTAAGCAGTTTACGAATTATATGATAATTAAAATTGTGTTGATTTCTTGTCTTTTCAGGATATTTCAGGAACCAAGTCGGGTACCTAAATTTTGAAAACGGTGATGAATAGGCAATGGAATTCTGCCCAATTTTGCTTATTTAACGGATTCCCTATCTTTAAAAATGTAGAACCTATACAAAGATTCAGAAAATGGCCACCCTGTATATATTTCAGTATTTCAATGCTTTTTGATGACTAATTTGATGTGTGTAATTTGCTTGTAAAAATAAGAGTTACAGTTTGCACACTCTAAAGCTATAAAATAGCTTTCTAGTGAATTTGTGAAGAGTTGTTATAACGATAGAACAATTTCAACGTAAAACGATATTTAAGACTTTTAAGACATTTACTTGATACGGAATTGTTTCGAACTTTCGCAATCAAGAAAGATTTCCCATAAACATTTAAATGGTTTTGCATGACATGTTGGTAATGGAAATTTTTTGTTCCTATCAATTTCAAAATAGCTTTGATCGGTACTTATGAGTATGATCTCCAGTATAAATTCAGCAATAAGCTGTTTATTTGGGGTCACTTCCATTACTGCAGCTTTCCCTTTCTCAGTAGAATCAATTTACCCCTTATAAACAACACATTTTAAATTTGTTTTTTTTTTATTTAATAGATTGGATTAAATGTGGCACTTTTCAAGGAAGATAAACTTTATGCATGACATGACATTTGTGTAGATTTTACCTCATGAGCATGATGAAATGATATCCATAAATTTATTATATTGAATTTCTATGACATGATTAACAATAGTTACTTGCCCGGAACCTTTGATGCAGCCGCGCTTTCCAAGAAAGAATCAATCGCATTTTGCTTAAATATATTTTTTTGTAAATCTAAGAAACTTTTCCATTGCTATGTTTATAGTGCATATTTTACTAGATTTTAAACGGCCGGCTATTGCTCTACTTTATATATTAAACTTATGCATAACGCCTTAGAAGAAGTGATGCCAATTTTATAACCGTAATTAATATATGTTTATATTATGTAAGATACCGTGTGCAGATCATCCAAGTCCGAGATTACAATAGAACATCAACCAAAATACTACATAAAACTGCGTAATCCAAACAATAGCTTTTCCTTATGACAGCAATTCCCATTATAATTAAGATAACGGCGCATTTCTCAAGCGATTATAAGGATTTATAGGGAAATCAAGGGAAAATCGCTGCGGTAGCATTAAGTCATAATCTACATATGGATTCCTCATTTAGCCACATACTTAATCCTAATACCGGTTGGGGTGGTAAGAAGCGATTTCGGCGTTCTTAATTGATCCTCATTTCCAGGAGTTTAAAGCTTCAATGGCTCCCTTTATGTATACAGGAGACTCCACAAACTTGGAAATCCTAAAATTTACTGGGAAATAATTATACTGTTTTTACACATATCGTTATCGACTTTTATTTCCTCGTTAATGGAGCATGTGAAATAACAACAAGGTATGAAATAATTCTTTCTGACCTTGCCTTATCTTGCGTTAAGGCAAAATCAGAATTTTAGTTTTGTTTCAAGGGGTCAAAATATAACTTTGAAGAAATTCCCGTATTCGACAAATATTTTAAGTTAGATTTTTGCAGACAATTGTTTGCTGTTTACCCGTAGATGAGATTCCCTGCTCGTATAAACGAAATACGGAAAGCGGAGGGAGAATACAACATCTCGAGTTGCTAGTGAAGTGTGTAATTAATCCGAAAATGCAGGTAATTTATGCCAAGAATGTTTATTGCAGTCGTGGAGCTAATTTACGGCCCGTCACCACTCGGATGGACGATCTTAGTAAGCGGATTAGGGCCACTGTAATGTTAGGAGTTTGGAAATTCAGGCTTTATTTTATGCAAACAAGTAATATCCGCAAGAAGATGCCCGTCAGATTAAATTAGTCCCATAATATCTTATCATCAGCTTAATTGAATGTTACAAGTCATTGAGGGTATTGAAAAATATCTAAATTGGATGTGGTAACGTTATACTGTAAATTTGGACCATTTAAGGGCTGTTTGTGAAGAGAAAATGAAACGAATTGAATAAGTTTATTACTAAATCAAAACGTTTTCCTTTTATTTCAGGACTTTAATAATAAAATTCTTGCTTCTCCGTAAAAATATTTAGTTTCATGTGATTTTTAGGTAATCAAGGCTTTAAAAGTTTCAGTACATATATATAGCAATAACAATATTAAGAAAAATAAATTTTATTCTTTTCAAAGAGGCCTGATGGGACAATGCTTTGCCGGTCCTTGCTTGCACATGTGTGAGATATGTTGAGCCCATAAAGTTGCAAATAAGTCTATTAATCTTAACTTATTCTACTCTATTTGAGGATGTCTTATTATTGTTATGTTCCTTTTTATTTTTTTTTATTTGATGAAATTGCAAGCCAGTGTAAATAATATTTCATGCATCTTTTAGGGAGGAAGATAATACGTCTTGACATTTGAGATATTTTGAAAGAAAAATAGACGATATGTTTATTTTCATGGAGTGCACATGACCTCACTATGTGTCCGTAATGCGGCAGAAGTCTTCATATTGCTTTCTTTATTTTATCAAGAACATAAACTTATAAAAAATTATCTAACCAATAAGTAGTACGGTTAAATAACCGTAAACATTTCACAAATATTAACTACAAATAATAAAGTAGATAAGCTTTTTAGATATTATTTCTTACTGCGATGAACGGAGGACAGAAATCACAAGGTCGGGGCTAGAAATTTAACTCAGTGTTGCCGTCATCAATTTTCTTTGCTTTTGAATTTATTTTATTCTTAAACGAAATAATCTATCTAACGCTTAGGAAAATCACAAATGAGCCCTGGAATTACATATTTTTCCTTTTCACACATCGTGTAAATATGAAAAATTGTAAATCATCAAGTGATATATGAGTTATTATTTGAACAAACTCGAAAAATCTGAAAATGTATCAAAGACAATACTTTTACTCAACAGAATACAAGAAAGAACCAAAAGTAGAAAATTTGAAAAGTATTTTTCAACTCACACTTAAGATCGTTTTTTAACTCAAACTTAACATCAGATGTCATTTAATTTTTTGATGATAGAAGATTCTCATATATCATTTTGGTTTAAGAAACAAATTGTAGAAACAAACAGGTTAAAAAAACATACAACTTGATCTGTCCATGTAATTTCAATTAGACTTTCCAAGAATAAAATTTGCAAAAGTTTGTAAACCAGTTTCTTTTCAAATTTAGGATTTGTTCTCAATTCCGCACGTACACTTCAGACTTCCAAATTGTCCACCATCCTGCATCTGTTAAATATCAGAATTAGCAGTCTTAATCTTTTGTCAGGCTCTTCTAATTAAAAGTCCTTTTTTCTGGGTAAAGCCTATTAGGAGAATTGTAGGAAGCTGAGAGTAATCACGTTGTAGCAGAAAAAGAAAAATAATTACTGCCCTGCTAAAGAGCTGAAAACTTTGCCTTGCTAAGAAGAATGTATTGAGAGAGAAAATGTATATTTCTATAATTCATTAAATCCGAAAACACAGTCGCAATCTGGAAAGAAATAAATAGCGTGATCTTCAATGATAAAAATTACAGTAATTACTCGACCAAACCATAGTCTGACCATAGAACTGACGCGTAACAGTTAAACTACCCTAATCCGATCGGCATTAATATTACAAAGTCCCGTTTAACAATATTAGCGCTATAATTTATTAATGGAAAGTATTAGCTTAGCATTTCAGTATAATTATACTTGGTTACAAAGCATCCAATTTGTAAGTCAGAGACATCTGGCTTCGGACGGTTATGAATAGTAAATGAAGACATGAATAATCGCAGTTGCGTTTCTTCACTTACCAATAAAAAAACTTTTCTGGATGGAAACTTGTAAAAAATAATTAACTAAATCAAATTTACTTGGTCACAATATTAGTATATAAACCGTTACTATATACAGGGAGATTAAAAATTGGCGTCATTCCTTTTAAGGGGTGATAAGGGCTCACTTGGAGAGTAGGCCAACAATTTTGGATATATTTATTTTGAAAATGTCTAGAAGATCTAAGAGATTAAAATCGAATTACAACTTTGTTATTAAGTATTATTTTGAAATGGTCATACGTTTGATAGGTAGCTTATAGAAATGCATTTGAAAAGAAAAATTACCATAGTTACTTCAAATCAATCAATTCTTAAATATTCAATTTTGTTTCACCTTAGTCTGGGGACTAAGGCGTATTAATATCCTTTTATTTTTTGCGATTATTTTAAAATCAACTATTTACAAACAAACATTTTTAAAACTTTAGTTGCGGTCGCATAATCCGGGAGTTTATTCCCAATTTGTCCCATAATTGAAAAAAATATTTTTCTTATATAGGAACTATTGCTTTCATTCGATTCTGAATTAAATCTGCCTAAATCTGATAGCGAATAGTTCTACAAGTGGTGTAAAAGTTTGACTATAAATGTCTCACATAATGCGAAGTTTGAAAATATAACTTTCTTTCAAGTTTGTTAACCCCTATCCATACAATTTAACTTTTTAATAGCAGTTTTTAAACAAAACTTCAGACTTTGACCCATTTTCGGTAAACTTTAATTTTAGCAATGTCTACCTACTACTTTGTCCCCCTTTAAAAAGTTTTCGAATTTAGAAGAAATTTGAACAAATCTGAAACTTTGTTTTGCGGATAAATTTTCGCCAACTTAAGAACTTGTTAACCAGTGACCTCTAGCAACTTTCTTTGGAAGTGCACTGAACTCTCTCAATGTTAAGGTGTAGTCAGGATCAAATGATTTGAATAGGAATACGAGAATATAAAAGTATATGAATTTTGTTCAATGTGTGTATTTTGGTTGTGTTCTTTACTCATCATTTTTAACATCGATACGATTTCCGATTTTTGTTATTGCGGTTATATATACAGGGTGACTCACTAAAGACTCAGAGGTAATTTTTTCGTTAAATTATAAAATCCTGCAAAAATTAACGTATGAGAGAATGATTCAAACCACGGCATAACGAGTTCAGTTTCATCGTCTATAATCATTGGCAATATATTCATTCATCATCATCATCATCCTCAGCCTCAGTTCGTTCATCTCTAGATATAGGCCTCTCTTATTCGTCGCGTTCACTTCTGTCGGTCGTCTGACTCATTCATGTGCTACCTACCAGTCTCTGGAGGTCATGTTTCCACCTCGTTCTTGGTCGTCCTGGGCCTTCACTCAGTTCGCTTCCTGGTCCACCTATTATCATCTGTGCTCATCAAATGACCAGCCCATTTCTAATTTAGCCTGATGCCGTCTTTTAGATTTCGGTCTTGTAGTCGTATTTGCATTTCTCAGCCCCCTCATTAAGTCTCCATGTTTTTGCGGCGTACTTTCAGGTTGGCCGGACATATTGGTCAAAAACTTGTGTTTTAAGATATTGTGGAAATTGGGAATTAAGGACGTAACTAAGTTTTCCATAGGCTGTCCGTCCATCCAAGCTGATTTCTTCTGTAGATCTCCGCTCTCTGGCTGTCGTTGTCGAAGGATTTTTTTGTCCAAGGTACACGTAGATACTCTTCCACGATATTAATTTTATCCTTGTCGTCAAGGTCAACATTAGCGACATTATTGGTATTAGACATTAGTTTTGCTTTTTCTGCGGTCATTTGTAGGCCGTAGATTTTTGCGGCGCTGTTTAACTGCTGTAGCATCGACAATACTCTCCGCAAGAAGTACAATATCGTCCGCAAAGCGAAGGTTATTTAATTGTTCACTATTGACGTTAACACCCTTGGCCTCCCATATCAGTACCTTAAAAATATCCGCCAGAGTTGTATATACAGGGTGTCGCAATAAGGATGGTAAGCGGCTGTATCTTGAAAATATTTTTTTGCAGAGTGTTGGGAAAAGTTTATAACAAATTTGAAGAAAATAATTTGCTGGAAATTAGTTTTAAATTTCTCGGATGACCACTAGATGTCGTAATTGCAAACGGTATTTTAAAAAGTCGATTTTATACAGAAATTGTCCCTATAAGTGAAACATCTAGTATGTTTAGTCAAATGATCATAAAAAAAAATTTCAAAATTATTTCCAGCAAATTCTTTTCGTCAAGTTTGTTATCAATTTTTTTTTTCGATCACTCTACAACATATACCTTCCAAGATATACCCGCTTTCAATTCCTCCCAATACTTTGACTATGATGGTTGGGTCGTTGTAGAGAGCGTTGATTAGCTGTATATATCGATATCGATACGGTATCTTTTGAGATAATTCAAAAAAGTCCATTATTCACGTGTATTGAACGCCTTTTTAAATTCGCTAAAAGCGAGGAAGACCTGTTGATTATATTGCAATAACTTTTCTATTATGTGCCTTAATGTGTGAATGTGATCAATCGTGCTATACCCCCAGCGAAAACTGGCTTGTTCCACTAGCTGGAATTCGTCAAGCTTTCTGGTAACGCTGTTTGTTATTGTTCTTGTCAGGAGCTTGTAGGTATAAGAAACCAGTGAGACCGGCCTGTAGTTTTTAATATCTTCCTTTCTTATAGAAGATAGTCACGACCGCGTTTGTCCATGCTTAAAGTATTTCACCTTTATCTGAGGATCTACGCAGTCATTGAAAAGTTTTTCTTGATACTCCAATAGTTTTAGGCCTCCCATCTTGATATATTTTATTATTATATCATATGGACCTGGTGCGATGTTATTTTTCATTTTCTTGACTCCAGTTTCAATTTCACATTTGCTTATGGCTGGTAGATCCTCGGTGTTGCACTTAGTTAATTTTGCTCTCTTATCGATAATATCAACCCAAAAACTAACCCTTCTCTCACATTAAAAGCAAAACAAATAAATCGTGTGCACAAATACCAATTTCTCGGTGTAGTCATAAATGCTCAAATGGATCCAGACGAACAAATTAAAACCAGAATACAGACGTCTCGAAATGCATTTGGCAAATACTCCTCAATGCTTGAAAAGA